AGGACAGGATATAATTCAGAAGCCCACTCACAGGGGTCTCTGCCCTCTTATCTCACTCACTAGAAAAAGACCCACTCTCAGTTTGGAAGCACTGGGAGAGGATCTCTTTCTAATGAATGAGTTTTAAAGATACTGAGAGATTATAATTTCACACCCACAGTTGGAAATATGTATAGTCCAGTAATGGAAACCTACTTTCTAGCTCAGCTACATGACTGTGAACAAGTCATCCACTGGGACATGGTAAAGAACATTCTATCTGTAAGGACAGATCAGACATCAGTGCAACTACTGTAACTTGGTCTGTAAATCAGATGTCATCATAGTTACTACAAATTCATACCAGAGCTCCAAACAGAAACAAACTCCAAATTGTTCTGCAGCTGTCCTGAGACGACCTAAAGGACTTCTATTACTAATCTCAAAAGGGATTAAAGAAAATATCATTTCCTTTAATTTACAGCTTGCAAACCAAAAACTCAGGAAAGCAAGTGGGATGGTCTAGATCACATAATGAAGGCATGGAACAGTATGTGACTGAACCCATATTCCAGGATCCCTATTCCGATTCTTCAGGCATTACATTGCACTTCTTTGCAGGAAGATGGCATCCTCAAAAAGAATACACATATTAGATAGAGTTTTTACTGTACAATGAAAAACTAATGACAAGGAGAGAAGAAAGAACATCAAATTCTACACTAACATTCTTGGCTTTTTTATTATTTTCATTTGCGGTTAAATTTAATATTCTTAAAAATGAAGGCCTTGAAGGCACCAGCCATCTGGATCCAAGCATTTCACAAGAAGAATGCACCAAGTTTCTTAGTGTAGCCCTGCAACAGCCTTTCTAGAGTATGCCTGGACAAAGCTTGCTGTTCTGAACCCAGCAATGATAAACTGAAATCACAGTGTTCAAAAAAGACTAAACCCACCATCAACAAGGACATGAAATGAAGATGAAAATGTACAGAAGTCCTCAAAACATGAGCAGAATTCACCACCATCCTCTTATACCAGAAGCTACTGGTATAAGACAATGCTCTGTAACCATAGGGTGCTTTTCACCCAATTCTTTTCCTTCTTAAACAGTTCATACTGTTAGCTGAAAAAATTCAACTGCATTTAGCCCAGTCAAGTCAGAAGACAGAGAACTACTTCTTCTCCATCTGACTTGCTAAGAAACTTATCCTCACTTCCAGCTGTCTCTGCTACTTGAGCTCTGGAAAAACATATACATAGTACAGATTACAGTAAAGAAGGGCTTTATAATGATACACTTGCTTCTTACTAGGCGCACTGACAATTAAAGGGTGCTGACTCACATGCAGCATATGTCCCAGGTGTGTGAACAACACCTTTGCTTTCTACAACACTTGACCTACAACCCAGATTTAAAGTATTATCAAAATAAAAAAAATGTTTCAAATTCTCATCAGTCTACTGCAAATTACCTTCAGAATAATCACACTATTGTTTTTGCTTGAATATTGATATTTGCAGGAAAATTATGAAGTCCATTATTAAGAAATAGATGAAATTTCTGAAAGGGTGGTGGTAAGCTGAGGCACAGAAAGATGTAAGCATTCTACCGCAACAAATAGCAACAATGACAACAGGGTTAAAATTCAGTCTTCTGTCTATTATCTAGTCTCTGGATTACTGTTATTTCTGTTTCACTCTACTGAAAGCCAAACCTGTTTTAGCCCAACTTGTTTCCCCTTTTGTTCTCTGTTATTCTTAGAAGGAAGCAGACAGGTCTGAAAAAAAATATCTGATGTAACTGAATGCCCTTGTGTCATTCAGGTATTTAGATCAATTTACTACTATGCAAATCTTACAGAAAAAAACTACAAGAACTGTGGTGAAAGAGGAGCCCAGTGCACTGCCTTCAGACTTTGCCCAAGGGCACAGTCCCACAGGCGAGGCGCGTACACCCACAGCAGGCAGGAACTGGAGCAGTCCGTGCCAACCGCCGCGGTATATGGAATTTGAATACAACTTAATTCTCTGAAACAAGGCAGTTCACATGAGATTTGTCAGCACTGGTGAAGGTTACAGTAGTGTTCCAATAAGAATATTCCTGTAAATCAGGGGTCTGCAGCCTTTTCTGTTGTGTCTATCTCTGGAAACCTCCATGGGGAGCATGGACTATCGTACAGAAGGCCTAACCCTCCTGGGAGTGCACCTGGCTTATTCAGCTGATGCCTTCATAATAGTCAACAGACTCCTTCCCACCTGCCCAGCTCCACCCATACCTCCATCTCCTTATGGCTGAAGGCTCAAGAAGTCTGAAATCAAATAGCCATTAAAATTTAACACTCAAACCAGTCCTTCAGCTTCCACTCTGAATTCAGGCTTACAGCCTAACGCGCTGCAGGAGAGCACTTGTCCAACTGCGGACAGCGCTCGAGGACCATGAAGCCAGGCCTAAGCAGGCAGGTTGGACTTAGCCTGTCAGGTGAAGAAACAGCACCAGGTGAGGAACTGGTAGAACTGAAGTACTAGAGAAAGCATAAACAGCATGACCAAAAAGTCCAGGTGGTAAAATCAACACCATCATGCATGATAATAGCAAATAGATGCAATAAGCCTGACATAAATAAACGATTACTTCAAGTTTGGCAAAGCTTTTGCCTATGGTCTCCTGTTCCCACCCCCACTTCCAAGTGCACTCTGGGGGGAGGAGCGGGGACAACAACTACCCCTTCTGGACATTTCTTATTTTTATGCTGTATTAACTGTTACATGCACACTAACTATTGATTTAAACTTTTAGAAATGAGAATTTCACCTCAAGTACTCTGGTTAAAAAATATTGCTGTATTTGATATTATTATTTGCAAGAAAATAAAACCTGTAAGATTCAGTGATGTGTTTTTGGTTTGCAGTTACAGTTTTGACCGAGTTTTCATTTTCTGTCATAATGGCATGTTTCTGTTGTTTTTAGGCCACTGCATCTCTATTTAGGTGATATTATTCTTTTGGCACTTGCTATCAAAAGAGACAAAGAACAACTAATGAATAAATGGATATTTACTGATAACCATAAATGGATAATATATCCGTATATACTGCTGCTCTCTCACCACTCAGAATCTACCCCATAACCTCATTACATAACTGTATTTTCACTTAGATTTTCTAACTTAAATATCTTTTCAAACAGAGCTTCAATATTTAACTTATACAAAAATAATGGATTCAGTTATTTAAATGGTAAAAAAGGTACATGGAATAATGTCAAGGTATGATATTATGATTACTCTAAGACACCTATCAGGGTAAGGGAATTAGCTTTAGCAGGTCATTTTACCTCCACCAGCCTCCCAGCAGTGCAGCAGCTGTTACACCACAGACACAAGAACAGCCCACCAAGTCCTCAGCCAAAGCTAAGGCTCTAGCTGCAAACTAGACTTCACTTTGACAGTTAAATGCAGTTTTAGGACCATGCACCCTCTGTACTTACTACTCTTTCTTCCAGACCTCACCTTGGTACTTGAGAGATTATCAGCTTGTGACAGTAAGCTACGAAATGCAATAATGTGACTAGTCGGAGTTCTTATTAAAAACTTTCCATATCCATTGAAGAGTTCTCACCCAGAAATAAAAGAAAGGTGGTTTAGATATGAACTGTACTGCTCCACACCAACTGTTGTTCTGCTGAAATGCCCACACAGGTTCCCCACCAGCACATTCTCCAGGGGACAAGGGGGGTGCCATGGTATTGCCCAGAGCCGCCCCCTCCTAAAGCCTGCCTGCCCTTCAGGAATGCAGGCAGCAACGTAAGGCTTGCCAGTGAGCAATCTCAGGAGTTTTAGTCATCTGCAAGCAACTTAACACGTGCACTTTTGCCTCTCTGGTCATCATTTTTTCCTGTCTATATAATGGGTATGTTGTGAAGGCAATCTGGTCAACATCTGAAACAGGAAAAGACTGCAAGCAGAAAGCCCCTTAAGTCCATCTCTCCATAGGCTTCTCCAGACATTTACAAGTTCCCAGTGCTGTGGAAGTGGATGCCTGCACTACTTAGTGATGATGAGGCACCTACTGTTGAGACAACTGGTGCCAGAGGGTCAGACACAAGTCAAACCTTTTCCCCTCCTGGGTGTGTTCAAGTAATACACAGGTGGGAGGAAACAAAGAAGCTACAGCAAAGAGAGTAGTGACTCCATTAAGTAAAGTATTTTCTATTACTAGTTGCAGAACATTAATCAGAGCCAAGAGAACATCATTTCCCAAGAAAGCAAAGTTGCCAAAATTGCAGAATTTGAGCCATTTTTCCACCTGACATAAGCATATTCCATAAAAGTCTGAAAATATCTTTTACAATTTTGCTTCTCTTCGGGAGAAGAAAAGAATACACATTTGATCAATTACATCCACCAGAAGCAACATCTTTTAAAATGATGAAGGTGCTGTTTTATCATTTTCACCAGCTTTCCTATCAACTATCAATAGGAATTCTTTGGGAAAACAGTTTTCTGTAGCACTATGCCCTGAGTATTTCTGACCTTCACTGTAAACTTGAGGGAAAAAAAAAAATTACTAGAACAGGATTCTTACCACCAAAGGACAGAATCGCTCACAATAAACTTGATGTTACAGAAATGACTATTCCAGGAACTGGGAAGACTAGACAGAACTGGACCAAATGAATTTAGTGGCTTCTGTCATGGAGAGATACATAGGCAGGACTCTGTAAACACCTGTTCCTCTTTGTGAACAGCATTCATGCTCTTGGAATGACATCAGGACGACATCTCATGGGAAAACAGTTCTTGCTAACCTTAATAATATAACATAAAACTTATCCAAAGGTGCAAGTCCATTTCAGACTGACAAAACTAGTTTTGCTGGGCTATCAGTAGCAGGGCAGCAGTGTGCCAGGCAGCTCTTTTTATCAAACCTTACCAACTGCACAGGAAACAGATTCAATTTGCTGCACCGAGATGATCCTACTGCTCAAAATGCAGAAGGAATATGAAAGAACTGCTTACCTGGAACCTGTGAACTAACTCCAGTGACTGGCTGTCATTCTGGTCTGCTTCAAGGATGACATCTGTCAGTTTGTGTATGATCACATCCAAAGGGCCCTGATCTTCAATGGGTTTGGTGAGGTCAAGCTGAAGAAATCAGACAGAAACATTTTATTAATATATGGAAGATCTGAGGTTTTTGTTCCCGCCACTGTCCAAGGTTTTACTGCCACACAGAACTCACTTTGCGTGCTGCCTTTACTTTGGTATGTTACCCACATCCCTGAGAATTTACATTTCTTTCAGTGAGTGTCAGAAAACTTTACTCAAACATTTATTTCTCAGCAGTGTAGATCTAATCCTATGAAAAAACAGTGAAGTCATTGGCAGGCACCCTTCATCCAAACACCTTCCTGTGCTTCTCCATCCTGAGCCAACATTTCTCTTTTCAGCTCTTTCTTAGTACTTACACACAGATGCAAAACAAATGAGCCAACAAAGATCATCACCACTAACAAAAGGAACGCCTGCTTGCTGAGCCCTTCACCTGCTGGGACTGCACAAACAGCACTCAGGACAGCAATGCAGGTAACACAGAAACAAGTGATCTTTGCAAATTTATCTGCTGTGGGGATGGTATTTAGCTGGTAAGGAGTGCAGCTCCCAGAGCATTCCCACTAGCAGACTTTGGCAGATAGCTGGATAGGGGACAAAGATTTGGGGTGGGGTGTGCAGAAACTCTGCTTCAAACACTACGGGAAGGCATGAAAGTGGGGGCAATGTGTCACAGAGCTTGGTTTCCAGCATCAAGGCAGGGTTCAAGGAGCAGAGGAACCACCTGTACTGGAAAAGGACTGAATTAGGGACCTCTTGAGGAAACCTTAATAAAAGAAGGCTGCTGGACCTGATGCATGCAACAGTACTAAGAGGACTGGCCAGTGTCATTGTGAGGGCTAAGATTTATCAGGAAATAAACCAGAACTGTGGAGATTCCAACTAAATCAGGAATAAAACCCCACCACAAGGACAGTGTGGTTGCAGCACAGATCCTGACAGAGGAGGCAGCAGGATCTCCATCCTTCAAGGTTTTCAAGACCTTACTGGACAAAGTCCTAAGCAACTCAGGTTGAATTTAATGCTGAATCTGTTTTCATCAAGAGGATGTATTACAGACCCCTAAGGTGCCTGCCAAACTTATTGATCTCATCGAGCTACGTACTAAATTAGAACATTTGTACAGTAATAAGTACCAGAAGAGACTCATGCTCTAGCCAACACACCAGGCTGCACACAACACAAAAGCTGTCAGGTTATCAAGCAGTGCTCTTCAACCAACTGTGAGATCTACTGCATCAGTTGCAACTTAACCTTGTCAACTTCAAGCCAGGAAGGTCTCTGAAATGAAAGACAGTGTGTGCTCATCAAAGGCAGCATCTGATGTTACAGTTTCATGCATGCTCCGTTCCATTGCGGCTGTCCCTTTTATTCTGGGCTGGTGGACACAGGAGGGAGAGGAGGGCTGGGCAGAAGAGGCTGCTGATGCCTCTTTTGATAAAAGCCTGGGTTTTCACTGTCTCAGTTGGAGTTTTGTCCTAATTAAGTTTCTTACTCTACAGAAATGGCCCTGCTTTGAATTCAGGAGTACCATAAGGAAGGTCATGATAAGACAGGATGGCTGGAGCTCAAGCACCAATAAATCTAAATCAGAGACCTAGAAGCCTTATAATAATTAACTAGCTGCTAATGTAACTGATCAATACAGCCCAGCTGCTTTTCTTGTGTAGACACTCTCATCTGGGCTAAGCTTACTTAAGCAGAATAACTGAAGTTACCTATGGCACAAAACCAAACCGAAAGACTGGCAGTTCCTCCCAACAGAGATTACCTTTGCTTCCCCAAGACTACTGCTCCTACTAACAATTACAGGCTGAGGATTTAGTACAATCTTTGAAGTACTTGCATAGGTTCTAATAGCACTGGAAAACACGTGTATCTGTCTTCTGAGACTGAGAAGCCCTCTTCACGGGAGGGCAGCAGATGCTGTACGTGCAAAGGTTACGCAATGGCAACGACAAGACTTGATGTGGGCGCTCGGTGGTTAGTGGCTCTCTGGCTGGGTGAGGCAGGCCACAGAGGGTCTGGCTGTTCTGGCACTTACATTTGTACTCCCAGAAGCAGTGCAGCATGAAGGCTAAGGGCAAGCGTCTCTGCAAAACTAAGGCAAAACAAACTGAACTACAGCTTGGCTAAGGACATGGAAGGAGATGACCTACTTCTGCAACCAAGTTCCAGAAAAATCAGTTAATATCCTTAAAAGAAACCTCAGATGACCACACTGCATTTCCTGAGTTGTTTTTTTTTTCATCTGCCTATCACATCTGGAAGGAAACAACAAAACAAAGAGTCCATTTAACTAGGTCAGAAAGTTCCCAGTTGCCAAGGTACAAAAATGTTAATCAATCCATTTGCAGGACTTCCAGTTTGAAAAACAGTGAGAAGCAAATAAGTATTTGAGATCGGTTACCCCTCTACATTCTTCCTGCACTTGCAGCTCAATCCACACAGAAACATTCAGAAAACAAGAAAACAGTCCTCCCTTTCAGCTTTGACTCAAGAATAGAAATAAGCCTTCAAGGCATATCCAAGCATTTTCATCACAGTGTTTTCCAGAAGCATAAGACATCTGGGCAAGATAACTTCTTCACAACAGTTGTGCCAACTAAAAGTAACTGGCATATTTTCAGAATTAAACCAAATGCATCTACTCTGCACAGCAGAAAATGTTAAAAAGGGCCCCCCCTCCACCAACATTGCTCTGCTTCCCCTTCACCAGGAAAGCAATGCTTGAAGTGACAGCATGCTAAGGCACCTCCTCTAGAAGTTCAATGACCACTTTTGCTCAACAAGAACAGCAGGTTCATTTCAATCACAGCAACTTTCAAAATTGATCCAGTATTCTGTGGATTGGAGGATCAAACCATTTAAAAAAATAAAGTTCTCTGTGTTATGGGCCATGCTGCGGAAAGCAGATATTCCTGGGCTATGTGGAATTTGGAACAGATCCACCTTCCTTTTATAAACTAGGAAGAAAAAAATGTAGAAAAAAAAAAAAAGACAAAAAAGATTTGAAGAGGAATAAAAGAAACCTTTTCAAGCGGAGTATCAGACCCAAGCAGAAGTCAGGGAAAGAAGAGTGCAAAATTTCTGATGGCCCTCTGCTGAGACAAACACTGATTCATTATTTGTCATCAGCTGGAATTTGAGCCCTCCTACTTCCCTTCTCTTTCAGCATCTTTCTCTCCAAATGATCTTTGCATTTGACACAATCACCCAAAGGTTTGTTTTTGCACAGAACTAACACCATAGCAACAGAAGTGAGAGAAAGGATTTATCAGCACCAGCTTGAAAAAGTAGAGAGATGAGGCTATGGTATTTTTTCTGCTGTGCAGCAGGCCATAGCCTACTCTTGCTTGCCCTTTTTTATACATATTGATTTCATGGCATTGCCACTTACCACCAAAACCCAGCAAAACTCAGGTGAATGACATGGAAGATGGTGTCAAAGCTGCACACAGAAAACACCAGGCACAAGGCATGTGCCTTTGCAGGTCTTACAAGTCCATATATGGAAGAAAACAGCCACTAGATAAATGCTCTTATCAGAGCTGGCTGCAGCTAGCCTGCTCACCTTCTAATAGAAAGACTTGCTAGGCGTTAAAAAATGCTCCAGGCTTAGAATCATCAGTCCCTCCCCCACAGGCTTCCCAGAGCATCCACTGAAGGGCAAGTTACAGGCACACAGAGCTCCATCCCTGTCTTCCTTCCCCTTCCACTGAACTCCAGAAACACAGAGCCAGCATATTATCCAAATCATTAAACGGGAGGGCAAAAAAAGTTTATTTCCATTAAGCATAATTTGTTTAAAGTTTTGGGGTTGTTTTTCTCCAGAACACTGGCAAGCCATCCACACTGCAGGGACAGGGCGAGCGGCTGGCAGAGAGCCACGGCTCTCCGCTGCTTCCAACTGCAATCCCACACGCATGCACTTCTGGAACCTGTGTTTAAAAATAAAACCATGTCCAAGTGAAAAAAAATCTGGATTTGTTCACTCAGGAAAAAAAAATACACCTAAAAACTCGCCCAAAACAACTGAAAACATTGGATTTAGCAAAAAGACATCTAAATGATTTAAAATAGTTTTGTGGGTTTTTTTTTTTGTTCTATTCAGTGTTTCCCATCTATAATCAGATATTTCATCAGGTATTTCAGAGTCTGGCTGAGTAGGACTTGGGTTTTCTTAAAAGCTCTTCTCCAGAAATAGTTTTTGGATTATCATTCACATGAAATGAAGTCTCAGTACTAACCTGTTTTGTTCTCTGAACTGAAGACAGATCTGTCCATTGCTATATCCCTAAGGAATCTGCAACACATCTCTCCATTTTGATTTATCCTCACTTTTCTCGTAAAATGTTTTAATTTTAAAAAAACAAACAAACCCACCCAACCTTCATAAATCTATTGTTTAAGCATTTTGTTCCCAGTCTCCAATAACCTAACAGACTCCATTCAACAGGATGCTGCACTAAGTTCTTGCTACATTTCAGTTTTTATTTGGTGTGCTGCTCAGGAGCAACAGAGTTGGAGCACACGTGCCTCCACAGCAGCCTGCCTTGCTGCAGGTGCAAAAAGCTCATAAAACTTTCACCCAAAGAAGGTGAATGAAGATAAAGGGAAAACTCCTGTGAACTGGACATATAAGCACCATTCTGACCTGACGTCTCTGCTCCCTGACTCTCAAAGCTGTATATGGAATTTTCTACACAAATGTATTGCATCCTGTTATTCAGATACTCAGTTAAGACTGCACTGACCCCCAGACATGTGGGGTTTATTTCAATCTTAATTCAGTACCTTCAGCTCCACTGCACATAGACCTTAAGGTTGTCAGTCATCATATTCCTCTCCTGGGGCTATTTTCTACCCTGTATCTTCATCACAGACACCTATATCAAAAGGCTTGTAAAACAAAGCTTTTTATATTGTCCCCTTCTTCTGCAAACCCCAGCCCCAGCATTTACCTTTGCTGTGCATCAATGCTGAGCAAGTCATAATTTTAAAGAGTCATGAGGTCTGGAATGGAAAGCAAA